ACAACATCTATTAAAACACTACTATTCTAATATCCCCATCTACATTAATGAAATCCAAATCCCCAAAATGGTGGAAGCATCCAACCTCCCAAATATTAATGATATTTTTTAATTACACTTCTTGGATATTCATCACCTAAAAATAATTTTATATTTATTATCCCTCCAATTGTTATAAATTTCATTTAATCTTACTCATATTTTATATCCATCGGAGATGAACTTTTATAGAACATTATATTAAATTTCCCACTTTCTTCCATACTTAATAATACAGGATGACTAGAATAAACATGTTTTCCAGGTCTCTTTCCATCCTCTATTATATTTGGCTCATCTCTTGCATACAATGTATATATTCCTTCTCTAAAACGAAATCCAACTTAATTCCTTTCTCCTAAACCCCACATTTATTTGTTTTATGGATAATGTGTAAATTCTATATATCTTTCACTAAATATTAAATCACTTAATGTAAATATTGTTGCATTATCTCTTTATACTTTTATTTCTAAACAATTTTATTCTACATCAATCTCATAATCATAATTAGCAAATTATTAAGGATCTTTAACATCATTATAGTCAAAAGGCTATTATAATTGAATTCAAATACAGGACTAGATGGTATTCTAAAATGATTATTTGCCTCATCATATATTTGAATATCAATTTAATCAGACTTTTCTTATCTAATTTCCAATATGAGATTTTATTCTAATTTTATTTCATGTCCTGTTCTTTATACTGTTATTTCATTTGTATTAACTTTATATTATTTAAAAGGCACAGTATTTTTTAATCTTGTAGCTGTATAACGTGTGTATACTACTAGTTATAAATTTAACAAAATGATGATTAACATCAAATATTATTATTTATTTAATTAAATTTCAGAATAATAGTAATTAACATTTTGTGATTTTGGAAAACATAATCATAACTGTGATTCATCTACTCATAAAAATCAAGATCATCATGATCACGATAATTATCATTTTAAATCTTAATTATAATAAAATCAAGATGTACAATTATTAAAATTCATTTTTTGGAAGTCCACATTATAAATATGCTTCTATTATAGCTTTAGTATATTTTGCATTTGAAATTTACACTTTTTATTTCAGGTTTAACAAATTCAAGTGTTCATTTAACAGAGAGAGTTTTGATTGCATATTAAATTCAATAGTAATTGTATCTGCTATATATTGTGGTATTCAAGCCAAAACTTTTCAGCCAACAAAAACATTAACATTTTATGTAAAAATTGGAATATTTATCCTCTTTTACATTATGAATTCATGTATCAATATTAACAATGTTTCAAATAACAAGAAATACTCATGAAATCCTTGAAGATATTGACATTATAAGTCATCCTGTTGATTAAAATTAAGTAAATTAGAATAATGAATTGTACTATGCTTCACTGAGAATAATTTTATCATTTGTTTGTATATTTTTGTTTATAGAATACATCTAATCAAATTTAATTACTGATAAAGAATAAGTCTAATAATTCATTCACAATTATAAAGATTTAATCAATGCAAATCCATCTAAATATTAGTATACTTGGTTATACATGCAATTACTATGATATTTTTATGTGAATTACTATTCAATATTTGTAAATTTCTAGAATTTATGCTTAATATTACTTTGTCTTATGCAGCTATAAGTACATTAATTGATTATTGTATTAAAATAAATTAACTTAGATTTAAATATCACTATTAGTTCGAATTTCTATTTAAGCCTTACTTTTAGCAATAAATAATACATTTTCTGGAATAAGATAAAGACTTTAAGAATTCAATAGTAATATCTATATTTGGAATCATGGAGCTGAATATAATGATATCATTTTGGCAGAAGGTTTAAAAAAGAGATAAAGTAGATAAAAGATATAAGAAATAGTCAATAAAAAATTTAAAAATTGTTTTGGAAATATTACTTGATTATTTATTATAAAAATCTCTTAAATTATCTTATTTTAAAACCAGCCAAGGTCAAAAACGATTTTTTTATTAAAAAATTAAAAAATTTTTCCGATACCGGGGATTGAACCCGGGTCCCCAGGGTGAAAACCTGATATCCTAACCACTAGACTATACCGGAAATGTTAATAATAACTATTGTATAAACATTATATATAGGAAAAAAACTCAACTAAAATTGGCTTTTTCATTTTATATATATATGTTATATTTCAATTTTTATTGTTTCTCTAATAAGCTAATTCAAAAACATTTTCTTTAGATTCTAAATTATCTATTTCATTCAAAAATTAAATGAACTGATTATCAATCAGTTGAATGCAAAAATTCTTAAATTCAGTATTTTTTTAAATTTCCTCAATTTTAGTAGCTTCAAAACATTTTTATGCTAAATTTATATTTAAATCTATCTCAATTGGTTCTTCTAAGCATTAATTTAAATCATTTAATAATTTAGTAACTTCATCTACATATTATTTTATTATTGAATTTGGATCCAAATTCCTGGTAATAATTAATTTTAATTTTTCTCTTATTTTTCTTTTAAATCTATCTAAAATTGTTAATAATCTTATATATTACATTCAAGGGATTTTAATTTTGCCAAAGAAAAGCACTGTTCTTGACAATTACTAAAGTATAATACATTTCCTTCTCCAATATCTGATAATTTTGAGATCGAAATACTCTTAGTTAATTCAATTAACTTTATTTAAAATTCTTAATAATTGTTTACAATATAATGATTTTACTTAACTATGTTTAAATCTAAAGATTATAAAATATTTAAAGTCAAATCTGGATGTAAACAATTTACTGAAGAATCATCACTTATTTTAGGTACCAAAGCATAAAATTTTAGTTAAGCTTTATCATATTGTACGAGATGTTAATATTCATTATTTCCACAATATTCTCCTATTAAAGTAAGACCATCTAATTAATTTTTTATTTGCTCAACTTTTTCAGAAGAATCAATAATTTTTAACCATTCCTTAGCAATTTTTATTGCAAATCTGTATCTTTAATCTTAAGAATCATTTGTGGTTGAAGGATCATATAATTGTAATTCACATTCATTTTAGCAGAGCAATGTTACATTTTTCGAGCCAATTATCCAACAATCCAAAGTTTTATTATAAGATATTTAAGCATTTTCTCCATTAGCCTTCTCCATTTAAGTTATTTTAATTTGAGATTCTTTAGGCAAACTAGAAAAAGTATAATTAAAAATTATTTCATCTTTTTTATTAGTCTATTTAGAATTGACTTAATTGCAAAATAACTTTAAATTTCTTTTCAATTAATATATATTAGTACATATCGAAGAATTTTCTAAGGCCTTTCCTCAAAATTGACAATTAATCATCTTTTTTTAAAAAACAAAGACCTCTTCTAAATGTGTTGTGAATTAGTTAATGTTGAGAATATAAATAATCTTCAAATTCATCATGGACTCTTAATTTGATATCAATAATTTAAATATTCTATTCATTTAATTTTACTTCTTTGACTTAAGAGGCAAATAACATATCATAAGTTTTAATCATTTAAAAAACATATTCCGGAGGAATTTCTTTAATCTAATGATAAAACTTTTGGATACATTTTCATTCATTTTTTAGCATTCTTCAACTAATCTATTGATTTAATGTTTTCTTATTTAATTATTTGATATCTAATCAATAGATTTACTACTATTCTAATTTGTATTCTACTTTAAAAAACTGATTACTTATGATTACTAAGAATATTAATCAGTCAACTAAGTTAGTTTGTCAATAATTTTCTGACGCTTTTTTTATGGTTTATTTAATTATTATTCATTTTTTTGATATTAGTTCTTTAAGTCTATGCTACTCATTATATTTATAATTTATCAATAAAATAGTTTTTATTAATTGGGATTGACACTGACAAAATGTATATATCTCATATTAAATTAAAATTCTCAAAACACAAGCAATCTTTAGGTATTAAAAAGAATTTAATTGTTTTTCAAGATATATTTATTATTATAATATTAATTACATTGTTATATATACTTTATTAACTATTAGAAAACGAGTAAGTTTAGATAATAAGAATTTGGATAATATTTATATAAGTTGAGAGTATGAATTAAATTTAAAGAAATGAATTTTCTAAAGTCCTTTCATTATAAGGTTTTGTTAAATGATATTAAATGCAATTACAAAATTTGTAATTAAAATAAAGAGATATTTCTCAAATTCTAAAATAAATATTTTTTATTTAAGATAGGAAATTAGTGTATGGAGGATAAGATAACTTCTATAATTACAGATGATAGAATAGATGAAATCTTTCATCTAAAAGCATCAAAAGAAGAGCTCCTGATAATTTTGAATTATATCATAATGGACTATAAAAAATATTAAATGACAGATAAAATATTACTACAATCTGATAAGTTATAGAAACTGACATTTGAGGAATGTTTAGATAAGCGTTTTGTATATTTATTTGTTCCTGGAGTAAGAAATTCTATGGATTCTACATGTCAAAAAGAGGTTAGATATACATATGAGCCAAGAGATGGTAAGATAAGTAAAGAGAAATATAGAAATGGACGTAAAACTGAATCGACAGATATCACATTTGAATAAATAAATAAAATGGTTTGTTCTTTCAATTAAAGCACAGGGGTTTTTCTGTCAAGTAAACCTAATTTTGCAGAAAGTAGATTTGTGGCTCCTTTGCTTCCTCAAGAAGAAGTGGCAAAGAGAGAAAAAGTTTAAGTGAAGGGGGGACAAATGTAGTATGTATAATAGCCAAGAAAAAATCGACCTGCTTTTAAAAATTATACTGTTGAAGAAATTTCTAAACACAATAAACCTGGAGATGTATGGACAGTATTGAATGGAAAAGTCTATGATATATCAATATACATGGATTATCATCCTGGAGGAGCTGAAAAATTAATGTTAGGAGCAGGAAAAGATTGTACTAAATTATTTAATTAATTTCATTCATGGGTTAACGGACATGCTTTTTTAGAACAAGATTATATTGGCAATCTTAAGCATTGATAATTAATAAATTATTTTATTGACCCTATATTAATATTAGGTGTCATTTATAAAACGGTTTTTGTCCCTATCATTTTTTTATCATTTAATAGTTCATCTATGGTATATGTTCATTTATATTTCTTTTATCAACTTATTTAGTGATTTACATTCAGATTTATAAATATGCTGTTTTATTAATTCTTTATAAATAATAATAAAATTATTGCTGCTTATTAATTTTGTTATTTTTGTTTTATTCTTTATTTATGAATAGAAAAAGATATAAATTCTTAGTTGAAGCCACCATCTTGCAAGTTCAATTATTGGTACATTTTTAATGCAAGATCTAAGTAATAATAAAAAAAGGTAATCCTAAATTTTTTTAGTTATTTCTTAGGTTCTTAAAAGATGGAAACTCAATCAAATTACGATTTGCAAAATGGTATAGCAATAATCAATGAAACTCTTTAATTCAACATAACAACAGATCTAACGTAAGATGGAAAATAAGAAGAAAAGAAAGCTTAATTAATTGTTATATTAGTAACGGAGAAAGGATAAAAAAATGCAGGTTTTAACAATCTTGACTTCTCAAAATATTTAAATTAATAAAACTTAGGTAAAAAAGATTTTTTAAGATTCTATTTAGAATTCTAGGAGATATTAGAGTTAGATAAGTGTCCTGATAAAAAAGCAAAATTGATAGTTAACTTTAAGATTACTAAAATTGGTGATTTAGATAATGAGTATAAAATATTTATGTAACAATAGCAATGAAGTTTAAGATTAATCTTCAGATTTTTAATAACTTTCTGCCAACGCTTCTGATCAAGAACCATTTACTAATAAAAATAATTAAAAAGGAACAGATTAGATGCTTTAAATTGAAAGTAAATCAGATGAATTTGGATCAAAATAATAGAAATCTTAAAATGAGAGTTAATAATTAATTAATAAAGATATTAAAATCAATGAGTAGAATTTATTAATTTAGAACCTTAAAGTTAAAATTGATGGAATGATTGAAAAAGATATCTATTAAGATATGTTGAAAAATTATGAAAAATAATTAAAAGATCAAGAAGATAAAATAAAACTCATATCGGATGGTATTAATAATTCATATATTAATTTAGAATTGAAAGCAAAATAGTTGAAAATTCAAAAATAAAATGAAGAACTTTAAAAATTTAAGATAGAAAATCAAGAAGAACTTTCTAATTCAAATAAAGCTTGTTCATAATAATTGGAAAAATAATCTGAATAGATTAAATTATTGAAGGTAGAATTGGAACAAAATAAAGTTTTATAAGAGCAATTAAAATAATTAAATGAATCTATGGTTAAATAAATTCATAGTTATAATGAGAAACTTGAGATACTTGAAAATTAAATGAAAGAAAAAGATGAATAGATCTAAAATATGAAAAATTTAACAATAGGAAATATTTCTGAGTTACAATAAGGTAATGAAATTTTAGAGAAACAAGACTCAAAATAAATATGTGAGATTGAAATAGAGGAGAAAACAGATGTAAAATGTTTGATTTTAAATATAGTAATAACCAATTGTAGCGACATCTATAGATTCTGAAAATATAATTGAAGAATTAAAATCAGCTCCTAATCTATAATAGTAGGATTTAGAAATTTTAAAATAAAAATATGAATCAGAATTAGCATAAAAAGATTAAATTATTCATAATCTATAGTTTAAATTAAATGAAACTTTACATCAAGAATTTCATTTGAATAGATTAGATCATGAATCAAAGACTTAAATTATTTAATCAGAAAAATAGATTCATGAACCAATAGTAAGGCCAAAATAAGAATAATAAATAAATAGATTAAAAACGTAAATATAAATATGGTAATCAAAATATGAGAATAATTAAAAAGTACTAAATGAATACAATAATGAAATTCAATATTTATTGAGATTAGTTGACAATGTGCCAAATTTTTTGGTTGATTAAAAAGAGTTAGTAGAACCATTATTATTATTAAGAAGAGCCATTTAAGTAAAGCTTTAGAATTATTAAATGACTCAGTAACTTTCTGAGTAGAGAATATAGCAATTGCACTAGGAATTAGAAGTTTGTTAGTATAAATTGAAATTGGAATAAAGTTAATAAGTAATATAATATTAAATATGGAGTATTCTAATTTATAATCTCAACCTAAGACATAGAAGACGTATGGTGATGAAGTGACAAAAATTAATGAATTTTTAGAATAGTATGAAATATTTGATAAATATTATAGAAATAAGGAAGAATTGAGAATTCTTTAAGAATAGGTAGACCAATAAAAGTTATTAAATGTTGATACTTCAAAATAATTAGAAGAAGCTAAATCTCAACTCGCAATCATGAGGACAAACTTATCTAAATCCAAATAATAATTAGCAGAGACTATGTAGGAAAAAGTTTTATTATAAGCAAAAATGGCTGAACAATAAAAAGCGTTAAAAGAAAAAATTCAAGAAATTTAAAAAGATTAGGAAATCATTTCTGATCTCGAATAATATAATATATAAATGGAAGAAGCACTTTCTTAGACCTTAGATTAATATAAATAATAAAATACATAAATGAAGTAAGCTTATGAAAAAGAGAAAAAGCTTAGATAAGAACTTCAACAATAAATTAAATCTTTAAAAGAAGATTAAACAAAAGTATTATAAGGTGAATCTAAAATTAAAAGTACAGAAGAAAAAATATAGTAATGCAATTGTAAAGAAAAAATTTAATATTATGAACAAAAGATAGCTGAATTAGAATTTTAAATATCTGATTTATAAATATAAAGATTAGATAAAACTATTTAAAGAAATAGTATTGCTTAAGTAAGAGCAAGTATATTAGTGAGTCATAGAGAATCATTAGCTTTCTAATAATTAGAGGAAGCAAATAATTAGAGTAATGTTTTTAATAATATTCAAGGGAGTGAATTATCAAAAATAAAGGATATAGAAGATCAAAATGTTAATTTAACTGATGAACGATTTAAAATGTCAAAAGAGTATCAGACAATTTTAGAAAGAGCTTTATTAGCTAATTCTTAGATAGAAAATAAATATAAAAATTAAGTAAAAGAATTAGAAGAGAAGATTGATTAATAGTCGTAATCTTTAATCAAAATGAAATTAGAGATTGCTGATTTATATAGTGCAGCAATTAATATAGGTGGGACAATTTTGGTAGATAAATTGCATATTGCATTAGGAGTAATAGAATGAATATTATAAATAATTATATAAATTTGTGATATCTCAAATAGAATTGATATATAATAATAATCTAAAAGAAAGAAATATATAATTATTTGAATATTTTTAACATTTTAATAAAAAGTTTAAATAATAATATGTATACAAAACTTAATTTATGATTAAATATTTAATAATAATATTATTAAAATGCATATCTCAAATAAATAAACATAAGATTTATCAATTAATTATGGATGTGAAATTCAAAAATTAGAAACCCCTTTAAAATTTGACAATAGATAGAGTGCTGTGCCTAATAACCCTTGTTATAATTTTCGATTTAGAATTTTTATTTTTTTCAGTTATATTGTTATAACTCAAATTGGTGAAATATTGGGGACACCTTAGGATGATATAAAAGGCATTTTTGATTTAGGACATAATTAAACAGATAGAATCAATTAATTATATCATTCTCATACATGGTACTTATTCAATTTATATTGTAATTAGGTTTGCTTCTCTAATGCAAGTAATATCTGGTCTAATTTTAGACTTTGCATTTTTCTATGTTAGTCTCTATTGGGTGTTTTATGTTAGAAATTTCAGGCTTTTTGCAGCTTTAATCTTATTCTATGGAATTAGGACTATTCATTTGAATTTTTTTAAACTTGAATTTGCTCATAATTATTATTGGAAGGATCCAGAAGTACCAAGCTTTGTTGTAAAATATGGAAATTACTCAGATTTCTTTTATTCTGTAAGAGTTTCTTTATAATATTAGGGTCATGTTGGATTTTTAGTAATATGTTCATTAGAAATGAGAAAATTGGGCAAGAAATGGTTTGCCTTATTTTTTTTTATATCATCATTCTTTTAAGCTTTTATTGTGATTTCTTTTAGAATTCATTATACAATTGATGTAAATTTAATTAATATTATAATAGGTACCTGCTGGATATATTTATGCACATTACTTTTATAACTTAGTTTGTTATTGGGAACCAAAAATTGATAATACATTGTATTGGATCTCTAAGAAATGTTCAAGTGTTAAGGTTTCTTAATCTGGTACTTAAATAATTAAAATACATGATTTAGATACAGAAAAGCTTTGAATTATTATTACTTATTTTTAATATTTAAAATATGTTTGACTAGAATGATAATGCTGAAATTGTAGATGTAATAAACTTTGATGAATATGCCAGCAATGTTCTTAATTTCTTTTTATTAGTAGGCTATTACTCCAAAAATATAAATAGATGATCAACGTCCATCTAGTCCTCCAAAAATTATTAAGAATGAATAGTTTCATAAAAATCTTGGATAAAATCAAGCTTACTATAAAGAGGATAAAAAATTTGACATAAATTAGGTATTTAAGTTATGACATATAAATTTAGATTAAAGTTGAAAATACAATCCGAGTAGTCTAGTCTAATTCAATTTAACAAAAATCAGAGGAAAGTGATGAAGATGACTTTGGTTCAGTCATTTAGTTTTAAGAAATAGCAGAAAAAGAAGATTAAGATAAAATTCAATAATAAGAACAAATTGATATAAACTAATAAAATAGATTATCTCCTACAGAAAATAGAATAGAAATGCATGTAGAAGAAAGTCCTAAGAAAATAGATCAAGTAGGACCTTCTCTTTAAAATTCAGTAATTTCAAATACTTCTGTGATTTCAGCTTATCCATTGGTGAATAAAACACTTGAATTTAATTGCACAAAAGAATTTCTAACTATGCCTTTAAATGAAAAGGGAATTGTTTAATGTTCTCTAATTATTAATACTTCTGGATTAAATAAATTGAAACCTAAATTTTATTTAGAAAAGAATGGCAAAATTTATTTAGCTGCAAAAAAATCATCTCATAAATTTATTATTAGTATGAACAAAGATAAAATTTAAAGAAAATCATCTAATTTTATTGGATAAATAAGTTGTAAAAAGAAATATGATTATATGTTTTATGATAATGGAAATAATCCTAAAAGAAATAAATTACCAGTACGTAATTCGTTAGGATAATTAAAGTTCATAACTTCTTCAAAACCAACAGAACCAAGATAATAAGAAGTATATTTAAATTAAAATATTTTTCTTAGTTTCGATTTCCTTTAGATGATTCTCAAATTTTTATGAATAGAAAACCTAAATGGAATGAAAAAACAAAAAGTTTTACATTGAATTTTTATGATAGAGTGAAAATATCTTCAATAAAAAATTTTTAGTTAATAAAAATAAATGAATAACCTGAATAGATATATGTATAATTAGGAAAAGAAAATGATTAGAAATTTAATTTGGATTTTCAAAGTCCTTTATCTCCATTAATAGCTTTTATGATAGCTTTAGCAAATTATGATAAAAAGATTGAGTATTGATTGATAGTAATACATATGATTTTAAATATAAAAATGATTAGCAGAAATGAATAAAGATTATAAAAAATAATATTATTTATATACTCTTCATTTTTTGGCATATTTAACTTTGAGTTGACATTCAGGAGTGATTTTAAAATTGCTTAAACCTTTTAATGCAACTGTCGCTTGATCATCATTCTAATATTCAACAAATGCTAAGCCTCTAGCTGGTATCAACTTAATGAGTGAATAACCAGGGTATTACCTAAATAACTCTGATAACATGATTTCAGTCACAAATGGTGGCAATGATTCTATCAATAAAACATTATTGATTTCTCCTTAATTTAAATTGCTACTATTTTGTATTTTATCTTCAAATTTTTTTTATTTCTTTTCTTTTATTAATTCATTAGGTAAATTAGGTTACAATTCTTTGTGTTATTTTTATTTATAATAAAACTTACCTTCAATTCTATCAAAAATAACACTCTTTTTATAGGCAAATTCAATAATCTAAAATATTAGGAATAGATACCAATGGTTTATCATAAACAATCATACCTGATAATGCTGATTTTGCATTAGTAGCATATGTAATATTTTAAAATACAATAAATGCTTAACCTCTTAATTTTTATGTTTTTTTCATAACCATTTAAAGGACTTCTCCAAATTATGAAAACAAGATGTATAATACAAATTTCATATCTTCTAATTTAATTTTATCATTCAATCCAGTTACATAAAGTGTTTCTTTAGGTGCTGAATCTTAAATAATTTGATTGGCTGGATGAAGATAAGGCTAATTCATAAATTAAAAATATATATTAATAAATATAATTATTGATTTAAATTAATCAAGAAACAATCTATTCTTCACCAGCATCTTTTGCAAATTCTAATTTAAGATCATTATAAAATTTAGTTAAATGTACTTAAGCAATTGCTGTACTATTAACAACAGATTGATTTTGATGAAAAGGTTTTTATTATTATTGATTAATTGGTAAAGATTATGTAACTTTATTTATTAAAGCTTATAAATATTGAACAATAGGTTAAACAATTTGGTCATTTTAAATTTTATCTTCTGTAATACCTCCAAGAATATGAATTCTATCTGAAAAATAATCTTTTCCCCACCATAATTCTTATTCTTCATCAAAATTTTTATCCATCAAACAATTTAGGATAATAATAGTCTCAAGGAGAATCTTATCATGCAAATCAGATATCATACTTGCATAGTTTCATTTGCTACTAAATTCTTTTGTTAAATGCAATCAGGTTCTTATTTCTAGTATACTAAAAAATTCTCGTTATAATATTTTAGGACCATGAGTTTAATTTTTAATGCTTTTTCAGTAAAATCATTGTAACATCTTAATAAAATTTCAGATTTCCTTTCTATTATTTATGTTAATTATTCACAAGAATCCAAATAGATTTATTACTTCTAAATTACTTCTTATAAATATGATTTGATTGGTTTAGTTCTCATTAAATTAGCTAAATCTTAAGAATCACAAAATGCTAATGCCTCCTTTGAAGTGCTTTAACTAATTTGTATAGGTTTGGCTTAAACCTTTTCATTTTTTTAGTTATTTATTTTACGTTTAGAACATTGAATTCCCATTATTATATATATATATAATAAGGATGGAGTATAATAATCTAAAATAATAATTTATAGTATTTTTTATTGATGATTTCAATAATTGTTATCCCAATTAGGATCTCTAGCTCTTTCTTTTTTATAAATTACACCAACTGAATTTATTTCTTTTGAAGCTAATTTCCCATTATTTAAAGCATTTTATATATCTTTATCTGAAATCATTCTAGTTTTTTTTGGAATAAATGGAGGTTTGAGTTCTTTATCCATAAGTTTATCCTTAAAGATATATTAATTTAAAAATAATACCCAATCAAATTTATCAAACCAATTATTAGCTTTTAATGCAGCATAACTACCACCTAAACGAACTTCTGGTGTTTTAGACAATAATTAATCTATTAATTTTTTTGCTTTCTTATCTTTCATAAAAGGTGGAAAAACTAAAGATTTTTTTTAGATTTCTTCATAAATTTCATAAGGATCATCTGCATCTTCAGCATATGGTACTCCACCGCACATAAATTCATATAAACAAACACCAATTGACCATAAATCTACACTAAATGTATATCCTTTTCCTGTAATTATTTCAGGTGCCATATAATGAGGTGTACCAATTATTGTATATGTTCTAATAGATTTTTAATTTAAGAATTTTGCTGTACCCATATCAATCATTCTTAAGTAACCCTATATTATTTAAAATGTATTATACTTTCTCATCAACCATAATATTTTCAGGTTTTATATCACGATATATAATTTATAATTTATGTAAATACTCTACACATATTAATAATGATCCTATGTAAAATTGTGAATCCATCATACTAAGTAATCCAATCTCTCGAATTACATCGAATAATTCCATACCCTTTATAAATTCAATCAAAAAGTATATGTAATTTTAATCTCTCATGCTTTTATAAAATTGCATTAAAAATGGAAAATTTATTGTCTATAAGACTTATTTCTCTTGCTAATTCATTAAATATATTATATTACAGCTAAATGTCTCTCTAAATGTTATTCCACTATCTATGCTTTACTTATACATTTTAATGCATACATTTTATCTTCTTAAACAGTCCTTACTAAATACACATTACCAAATTAACCTTGTCCTAATTTCTTTATACTAATAAGATTATCCAATGTAATATTTGAATAATCTTTTTTTTATTAAGAATTATTAAGACGACTCAAGTATTTTTATTCATGAGAATTCTCATTTTTTTAAATCATCTATTCAACACTTCCTCCAATCATCTACAAAAACATTTTGATTTCAAATTCTGCTATTATTGCTTCATCAGATCTCACTTATAAACTTTCCACCATTTTATTATCCATACTTTAAGACTTCAAATATTGATCGCCAAACACTTTCCCTTTACCCAATACATATTTGTTTGACGGAATCTATAGATCTTTTAATTACGAAATAATTATTTACTGTTGCTATTTCTCCATCTAATACTATATACACTTTTAAACAAGGCTACCCTAATTTTACTATTATCTCATTCTTCTCATAATGAACTTACCTCACATTCTAAATTATCTTCTCAATTTGTATTGATGTCAATTTCCCAAGTATTGCATTTTATTTCAAAGCCCATTTCTGAGTGTTTATATATTTTACTGTTTGTATCTTTTAACCTAATATTTTCTATATATCATCTTTTGACAATGATAGACATCTAACTTCTTCCTCAGCTGCCTTTACTGTTGCAGCACGCTAACAGCTTTAATATAATGCAGCCTCTCCAAAAGATTCTCCTGCATTCATTTAACTTACTTCTTTATCTCCTTTTATAATAGATACTTTCCCTTTTTTTATTATATAAAATGAATTTGCCACATCTCCTTCTGAAACTATTATTTCACCTTTTTTAAACAATAAAATTATAAGCACGCTGCATATAGCATCTCTTTATTCTTCAGTTAAAAATGCTATTTAATATATTTTTAGAAAAATACAAAAAAATTCCACTTTTTTCAGAAATTCTCGATTTTCTTCGTAATTTCTCTAATTTTGTTACTCCACAACTTTTCTGAAAGTGTTTCTATCAATTGCCCAAAAAGCGCAATCTAAATATAACTTTGAGATACAATACCTCCAACTGCTCGTACACTTGCACTTCTAGGTGCATTATAGAGCATTGCTAGTTCACCAAAAGCTTCTCCACTTTTCAAAGTTTTCTTCAATTCTCCATTAATTATTATTTAGCATTAACCTCTTTCAATAAGGAAATATGAAGTTGCTTTATCTCCCTACTTGAAAACAAATTATCCATCAGGAACAGTGCAATAAAACATCTATTCCACTACATATTCGATATCACTCTAAGGAACAGATTTGAAAATGAAATGATCATTAAAAGCATTTAACATTAACTAATAATCAAATGGAGATTTTCGTTTCTCAACTTTCTGAATATTTTCAAAAATTTCTACAGTATCTGAAACTGCATTTATTTTGGCTTACTTTTTTCTGTCTCCTCTTTTAAGCTAAGAATTCTTTAATGTAATTGATACTTCAATTTATTACAAATTTTATGGCTATTCTTCATCTTCACCTTCATCATCATTCTATTTATGAGTGGTTTTTTTTGACACTGTTGTACCATTTTATTGAGGAATTGTTATAGTCTCTATTTTTTTATTATTACCATCGGCTTTCCCTGATCTAAGCTCTAGATTTTCATTTGCAAATTATTAACAACGACATGCATTACCCATTATTTAAAATAAATTAAATTTAAAATGTATAATTAACATCAATTTAAAACCTTCTCAAATTTCATATAAACAATTTTTACAATCTAAGTCTTAATATCTAAATTATATAAATTATAAATAAAGTTGATCTAATAATCAATTTTGTTAAATTATAAAATATAGCTTTAACTTACTTAAATTGCACTAATAGGCTTTAAATTCTTTCAAATAACATTAAATAATTTGATAGCTTTACCTATATTTATCAATTTCTTACAATAAATTTGATCAAAATTTTAGATTTTTTAAGAGACATAGATCATTCAAGCTTTCTGATTTACCTCAAAATTGTTTCTCTCATAGATAATTATAATTTTTTCATTCTCATAATAGATTTTGTTTTTATTATAAGTTATAAAAATGTATTTTTTATTTATAATATCTTAATATTTATTTCTATATACTAAATAATCCTCATTAAAATATTATTGCAATGCTTTTTCAATCTTATCAACGGCTCCTTTACAAAATAATTTTTATAATATTCTATTCCTTTACCTCCACTTCTCTATCGTAATTTGAAGCCTAACTTCGATTTTCCTAAGTACTTTATAACTCTCTTTTCTAAACATTTTGTTAGAACATTTTTCTAATCTTACATCATTAACAGGTCCTGGATGGTGAATAATATAATTTAAATTCTCAGCAGTCCGAACTTAAATTCCAACATGATTAATTATGCCCCATCCTGATTTAAAACCTCCACTATTTGATTTTCTCTATACATAAAAACCTGCTATAATCTTTTATTTTAACTTATCTTTAATTTTATATATTCATAATGATAATGCTTCATCAATTTTAATAGCCTATACTCTAATACACCTTTTACATATATCATAACCATCGGTTTTCCCTACTAAATACTTTGCTGCTTCTATAGTAAGTCTTTGATTAACATTCAGTTCTTCAACCTCTTCCCAACCTTCTTTTTATTTTTATTCTTTAGAAAATAGATAAGATACAACATCTCTACTACCCAGGCTTGGATGATGAATAATAAATAATTAATTTTCATCAGTGTCAATCTCAATTCCTAGATGTTAAATCTTTTCCCTATTGCTGGTACTAAGATTTCCTTCTAGTAAATAAGCTTTTTTAATAATTTAATTTTCATAATTATCCATTTTTTATTTTGTTCTTTGAGATAACTCACTATTTCATTAATAAAATAAAATTATATAAGAAATAATTCAAATATAATTGGCCTCTATCAGATTTCTTTTCTGAAAAAATTATAAGATATATTAGATGTAAAACACTACAAAAATCTATTAACCTCAAAATAAAATCAATCCTGAGGCTTTTATTTTTATTAAAGATTTTTTGGTTAAATCATTAAATAAATTAAATATTTTTATCTTTTATAGAATAATCTATTTAATAAATATATGAACCAATGGCATCTATCTAAATTGATTTAACTTAACTATCCATAATATTTTCAAGCATCACTTACAATCTTCTAATAATTTAATTAGATTAGACATAGATTAATTAATATGACCTACATTTCCAATCACAAAATCTAAATAGGATATATTTACATAATTTTTAGCTTTCTTTTTACTTAAGGATTCAAAAAAAATTTCTTAGTCGATTTTTCAATCTCTCTATAAAATATGAATAAGTATCTAAATAGATTTCTTTTTAACTACTCAATTATTCAGAATTAATTTGAAATTTTATGAATTGAGATTGTTTTTATATTGCGCAATATATTCTTCATCTTCCAAAATAATATCAAAGTAAAAGAATAAATTCACGCATACACCTATACTTCTTATTTTTTACATTATTCAAACAGTTGTATTAATATGAACTTATCAAATTATTTTCTAACCTTTTTGCAATTCATAAGACAATTTTGAGCTTTAAAATATAAATAATATTCTACTTTTTTTAATGTAAATTAATGGCAAAAGTAATTTACAAGATTATTTTTTAATTTTCATCTAAATTTTTTTGAATGCTCCAATTTTAAACTGATTTTAAAGCAATTATTTAAATTTTTCCATTAATGTTTCAACAATGTTATAAAAATTAAACCCTTATCAATTTAAATAACAATTATTTTTATTGGATTGCATATAGATGGGAAATTGAGAGAGAAATCTAAAGATCGGAATTCAATTATAATTTAAATAAAAGAAAATTAAATTAGATTAATAATAATTAATTATAAATGAATGATAATCATGATTTATATGTTGGATAATGTTCCAATAACGAATCAATTATGAGGAATGTTATTTATGTAAATCTTGATAAATCATAGATTTTAAATATTATTAATTTAATTTGAAAAAAAGGGGAACTAAGGCAGATAATAATAAAAATATAATGTAAAAATATCTAAAGAATAATAATTTTGCATATCAAGGTGTTGTTGTTGTTTTAGGTGGAATGTAGGTTAAACAAGAAACGCATTCTTTATTGGTTGAATCCCAAATATAATTATAAAAGGAATTCACTAAACAATTTGAATAATCAAGATGAGATATATCTTAAGCCTCTTCGCAATTATTATTTGCCCATTTACATAGTAGTGGATCATCTTCTATAAAATTCTGCCTTTATAAAATGCATTTATTCTCAGAAGTGAAATCTGGACAAGATATAACTGTGCATTTATTGTCTTTCCATTAACATCCGAGACCCTCTCCAAATATAATACATAAATCATTGCTAAATAATTTGTCACAATATCGGATATCAATCACCTTACAACTGTTTTTATACCAGTAACATAAACCCCATTGACTTTAAAATCCTGTACAATCTTCTTCTACACCACCACATTATTAGACTTTATGTTCTTAGCAAATATTCCCATTCTCTGAAGGCTCACAAAATTGATTTTAATCTTGATCACCTATTTTGTAGCAATCAAAAGAGTCATTCATAAAATAATCAGAACATTTTGTGAATGTTTCACATTTTGATACATTCCATGAACAAGATGCAACCATATTACATTTATCTTTATTGTAATATTCAGTACAAGCTCTTGTTTAGCAACCCTCACTTCTCCAAATACAGTTAGTTTATTCTAAACAACTTGAATCTGTAGAAAACTTTTCACATGTACACTGTTTTCTATAAGAAACTTTCATTGTTTGACCTAGAATTAAAATACATAAGAGAACAATAGTTGCCATTCTTAAAATTAATAAATCAAAATTTCTAAAAGTTTTTAAGTTTATTGCATGTCAAAATACACAACATCATCAATAAATTAATAAACAAGTGGAATTTATATTGACAATCAATGAAGTCAATCCCTTTTACATGTAAGCATCCTTTAATTTGAAGAAATCATATTCTCTTTAAAATTTTAAAAACGAATAATATAAATATATAACGTATATAATATTAGTATTGAAAAATAAATTTACACCATAGTTAATTAAATAATTAAACAATGTATAATTATAATTTTCGGAGTTTCCAAATTCATCGAGGATTTTTTATATACAAATCAATAAAAAATTATAAAAATATTTATTTCTTAACTGAAGATCTATTGGTTCATTAATTTCTGACATTTATAATAATTTCAAGTTTAATTACTTAATAAATAAGTATAAATTATTTGATAATTTAAATTAATACCAGTCTTTCATTAGGTGAAATAATTATATTTTATAAAATTCTTAATTTAATGAAATATTTTAGAAAATAATTGTTAATAATCATAAGTCTAATCAATCCTTCCTTTTTGTTATATCAAAATTTGATGCTTTCAATTAATATTATAGTGATAATACTCAATCAATACTTAAAGCATCATAATTATTTCAATATGTAGAAATTAGAAAAAATATTAACATATCTATAATGGATGGCAATCTATTCTTAACTATCCTTAGATTGTTTCTAATAATAATTATGTGCATAAATCATAATATTAACTGAGACTAATAAAGTTTTCAAGATTATTGTGGGTGTTGGTTCATCAATAAATTCTATTTTGTAGCCAAATATATTTAAGTTTTATTATACGATTCCATATATGATTGTAGTATTAAGCATAATTATATATGACAGCAGGACCAGTATGGTTTAAGAGAAAAAGAAATCAATTTAGATTTAATAGACAAACCTTATAACATTTAAGTAGAAATCAAACTAATTTGAAAAACAAGCATCATAACAATAGATTCAAGAAAATATACTTCGTTCTCCTGAGGGAGATTATCCTGATCTATAGAATAGTCCTATAATATTGGATTTATAATGTAATGAAGAAGATGATGTATTAGCTTAAATGTATTATTAATATTATTTTATTAGGGCTTGGATTCATAATTAATCGATTTTAGTTTACAATCAAAACTTTGAAATAGTTTATTAAAATTTTTTTCTTGGAAAACTCAATAAAAATTAAAATAAAGGATTGCAAATAGATTATGAATCGATATTTTTGGAGTCCATAATTGAAATAGGTAGTCGTGAAGTGAATGATTTATTTGGGAATTCTGAAATTGATTTAGATTAAGATAAGTAAATTATATATTGTTATAATTAATAGTTCTTTATTTTTGGATAATACAGTACATAGTAGATATAAAATAAAAGGAGGATTACATAAGATTAGATTGATGATAGGATAATTATTTAATAATTATTCAAAGTAAATAATGAAATAAATTTTAGATGGAAATTTTTTACATTTACACTATTCAGAATTAGAAGTGATGAATTAGATTTTGATAATTTAAACATTAAAGTGTTAGTGACAGAAGTAAAATAAAAACTTTATACACTTTTTATGTTTGAACCTATTAATAAAGCAACTTCAAAAAGAGTGTTAGACGAACCACTTTAATTTTAGAACGTATTTTAAACCTTTTTATCTGAATCAAATAACTATATAAATGCTATTCATTTATTGATTTTGTTATGTTCTCATGATATAGAGAAGAATAATGGGAAAGTTTAGAAAGATTATTTAAAGTAAATGCGTATGAGCACATAAAAATTTATGATGTTTCTTAGTACTATGAAAGATCTGACTTTATAATTGACAAATCAGCTTACATTTAGAAACTCAACATTTAAAATAACTGATATTTTAGATGAATTATAGTTGATTTATGATGATTGCCTAAAGATAAAAGAGATTTCAATAATACCAATTATTGACTAAGAAATGTTAGTATATAATGATTCTGAAAGAGTAATATTAATATTAATTGATTTGATAGACAAAGCAAGTTTTAAAATGCTTATTTGAAATTGCAATAAAATACACAGTTACTTAAAAAATAAGAATAGACATTCATCAAGTTTCTCCAAACAATTTTCAATTTTAGATAAAAGACATTCCATTTAGAGATGAGATATCTAGATTAGGTTATTCTACAGTTTTAAGAAATACTTCATAATTAATGAAAAATAGTTGTAAAGATTTTGATATGAGTAATCTTTTGGAACTTTAGGTTTCTGCAATGATAGCATTTTTACTCTCTGGATCACTTAGAAAACCATTAGAATTAACTTTTGATAATCATATGTCAGGAACATTTACATTTACTGTTGAATCTCTTTAGATGAATAGTAAATAAGTAAGTTATGCTTAATAGATGAAACCTAAAAGACCATTTGAAACATCATTATCTATGCTTTTAGCTTAGGCTTAAGATAGTTCTCATTATAAAAATGAAGAATCAAAATATATGTCATTTACATAAATATCCAAATAATATTCATTAAAACCTGATACAGCCTTTGATTTACAAAGTGCTCATTTTTCATAAATATCAAAAATTAAATAAGAATCACCATAGATAAAACCATTGGGATCTTAACATTAAAGCAATTCAGGAGGAACAAATAAATTTCAAGATTCTTTATTTCCAAAAAGCTTAAATAATAATCCTTCAAGAGTAATTAAAAGTGATTCAGGTGTAAATATTTCATCAAAACCTCCAACAAGTACTTTAGATTTTGGAGATAGTACTAATCCTAATTTAGATCCTCCTGAATTAAGTCCAAAATTCTTACATTCTGTAATTAAGTTTAAACTCACAAATCAATGTTGTTCAAAAGTAATCATTGCAGATAATGACTATTTGAATGTATAGGTATTGTAGATTCTATTAAATAAATATGAGGTTAGATCAGACAAAGCATTTACTTAATAATAAACTTTATCACTTATTAAAAATAAATAAGAAAATCCATGTAGATGTAAAAATGGAGCATATTTATTATATTTTATTGATGCATATCTACCTGTAATTTATATAATTTTATTATTAGTAATCTGGAGTTGAATTGATTAAATAAATAAAGAACTAATTTAGAAATTAATAAGTTGATAGAGGATTTATAATTGCAATGGCTAGTTATAGTGATATGGAACTTAAATTAAATTGTTTTAATTCAGGAATCGATTATTTCATTTCAAAACCTTTTGATTTATTTGAATTATCTGCTATCCTCTAATATATATAATTTTGATTAATATATTTATTAATGGTTTACGGCAGATTGATTTACAACAACGTAAAGGATTACACTCCTTAATGGTTTAAGACTATTCCATATTAATAAACAGTGAAACCAAGTTTTGGTATCATTTAATAAAATATCAATCTCTAGTCAGAAAACCATAAGTAGTATCTAGATTAAATGCTGATCCAAAAGTCAAAGCATTTTGGAGATTCTTAGGTAGAAATGTGGCCGATAATCCTTGGGCTTGGTAAGTCTATATTTTTATTAACTCATTTGCCATCTTTGCATTATGTTATTATCCATGGCTCTGGGTTTATTAATTCAACAACAAAAAAGTAAGAATTACTAATCTATCTTTCAGCGAACCATTGACTATGCACTTTAATAAGAGAAAGAATTCAAAGCAAAATAAGCTGCTGCTGAAGAATGAATTATTATTACACAAATACAAATTCATGATAATTATTTTTAGCCTACTATTCCTATACTATACTCCTATATTTTAGAATTATTTCTTTATTAAATTCAAATACATTCTTAATAATCATAAAATAGACAATATAAATCTTAATCTAAATATCTCTCTATCAAAAATGACTCACTTTAATATAATATAACTTAAAATACTTTTAATCTACTTTGTTATCTTTATTTTTTTCATTTAAGCAACCATTTTTTAAGATTGATATGTTAATTCATCATTTATTATATACTTATAAAAGTATTTTTTCAAACTTGATACTTTTATAATATCGTTAGAACTTATTGATACATTAATCATAACTTTTATATTATCAATGACTCATTCTAATAAAATTTGTTCTATTAACTGACATGACTTAAAAATCAATAAAACTACTCAATAAAAAAGTTGTTTAATTTATTAACGAACTAAAAAAAGAGCCTTTTATTTCTTTATTATGTAATCAGAAAATGCACAAAAATATCTTCTAAAAATTATTAAACACTAAAATCATCTCTCATATTAACATAGAATATTTTTTATTCTTTTTACTCCCAAAAATGATTCAATTATTTTTGTCTAATATTCTAAGATTATTAATAAGATAAACTTTGAATGAGATGAGTATATATTGAAAATTTATAAAAAATCAATTTGTATTTCAGAATGAAAATTAGTTTTGATTTTTTTAAAATATTCAAACCAAAGACCAGAGTTTACAAATCCCTTGCACAATTTCTAAATCCTTTTTTTAGAATAATGAGTGTTGTGTTTTAGGTAAAAATATTTTATTGTGTTTTGGCAGAGTTTATATTAAATCATGAATATCATAGATTATAAATACTTAAATCAGATCTTCTTAATATTGAGGAATTGGTTCTAATGTAATTTTACCACTTAATACCAATTCGTCATCATCTTTTATAAGTTCTTTATTTAATTTGCTTCTCTCATTAATATAGTTTTAGAACTCTTACTTTCTTACTTTAGTTTTTTATCCTACAAATATTTTTTACTGGCCTTCCTGATTAGAATTTTCAAATAACAATCTAAATATAAAATTAAACTATATTTAATTTTTCTTCTGTTGTCTAAGTTTAAACTTGAACTTATTTACTGTATAACTATTTAAAGAAATTAAATTAACTTTCTTTAAAGATTTGAATCAAATAGATGAATAACTTGCCAATATATTTATTTTTATAGTTCTCCTCTTTCTAATTCTTATCTTCTCATCATATTATTTGAATCTAATCTTTCTTTATGTAATTGAATATTTGTGATAATTTAATCATCTACATTTTCATCATGATATTTTAATGATGAATTATGTAATTTCCTTCATCATCAACTTAAAGAAGTTTGTTTTTTAACTTTGTTATAAAACTATCTTATCTACCAAATAAATTAATTATAATAGAACTCATCCAAATAGAATATAAATTATTTTGATGAAATATTTTGAATAATAATTTAGTTTATTATTTGTATATAGACATTTATATAATTATAACTTATCATAAGAGCTTAAGTAATTCTATTAATTCCTTTGCTTCAGCAGTTATTTCTAATTATTAATTTAATGAATCTAAATTTTAATGATTATTTATACGTATAATATTATTGACTAGAGTTTTAATATGTTTATCACTTTGTAATTCATATACAATTTGTTTAAGAGCAGAATAAAACTATTAATCATAATTTCCTGCAAAATACAATCCTAAGTCTGTTGACATTGCTAATATGATTTAATTGAAAACATTTTCATCGAAAATTTCATTCTATCTTTATTTAATATATTCTTTGCAATGATGTTTAATAAATAATAGAAGATTTCTATCATTTTTTTTATCCAAATTGATTTTGAGGTTGAAAACATCGAAAAATTAATGTTAAGATAAAATGTCTAATGATTTTTTTGTATATAATTCCATTGTTTCTTTCAAAGCTTTTTATTATTCTTTAGGTAAAAACAATATTGCTTCTCCTAAAGCTCCTTTGTTTAAGAATACTCTTCCAGATTTTTATAATCCAAAATTAATTTGACCATTTACTACACTTGGATTATTAGGATCAGCAAACAAATTTTAAGGAAGTTAAATATTATACTTTTTACATGTTATTACAACTAAATTTTCTACTAATAATCTATATCCAAATAAACAATTATCCACCAAAACTTTTGTATTTACTTCATTACATTCTTATTAAATCTTTTATAATGATCTTTATGTTATCAACAGTCCAAGTGCCATATCTTCAATTTTTTTTTGAATCTCCTATATTACTTAACTTGATGCTGATTTTTTACTTTCAAATAATTCAATCTTTATCTACTCATATAAAATAGACAATCTTGGTTATAAAAATGAAAATAATTCATCAATACAATCATTATATTCTACTAATTTTTTTTATGTAAGTAAATCAGTGATTTCTTTATTACTAAATAATTCTTATTTATTCATTTATTTCTTTTTTTATGGTTATTGTTATTTTTTGTTTTTCTTATTAGGAAATCCTCCTGCTGAAGCTTATATATCTTATGGTGTCTCTTCTTAATTTTATTACTATTCAATCAATTTTTAAGGATTTTGATAGATCGATTCAATTATTTTATCTTTAAATGCTAATGCTAAATTATCTAAAAATGGTTTATGATAAATCATAAAATTTGCATATTCACAATTATTTAATTACATCAAAGAAAATAAAGTTTCAATATCTTAATCACTTAAAATTACTGGTAAAATTTCCTAAAGATTTGTATGTCCTTCATTAATTAGTAATTCTTAAATTTAATCTTATTTTGAAATAAGAGCATCTCTGCTAAATCCACATGTATCCAAAAATATCACATTATCTTTGAACATTTACTTTAAATACTCTTTTGGTTTTTGAATGAAAAATTGTGAATAAAGTTTATCATATTCAACATAAGAGTTTTATTCAAAAAATGCTTTCACTGAAGCTTCTTAATTTTGAAGAAATCTTGAACTTATATATTAACCAGAAATGATCTTCCCATCAAGTTATTTGTTAATCAACAATTATTCACAAAGTTTTTATGAATTTTAAATCTCCAAATCCTTATTTAATTTTAAGAATTATATTGGACTTAAAGTTGCTCTTAAAATTCCACAAAGTTTAGCTGTGATTATTTCAAGATAAGTTACTGTAGTTAACTTATCTTCATTACATACTCCTTAAATAACTGTCCCTACTTATTCAAGTATATATTTTTTTACAAATTACATTGGGAGTGCATATTTCTACATTACTATAATAAACTTTATATTTTCTTACTTTCCTATAATGAAATTATTGACTTTTATTAAAGATCTTCGTTAATTTCCTCGCATACATTTAGAATATAATCATGAGACATCATTTCATCTTACATTCTGACAACATCCTGTTATCAATATTTAATATTAAAATTACCCAACCATTGCTATCTTTCTCTATTTATCCTTCAATTTTATCAAATCCTATACCCAATATATCAGGTAATTGATTAACAGCCACTCTTTTATTTGATAAAATTAGTTAATGAATCTCTTTTGACAACTAATTTGGAGTCACCAAACTTTGACCATCTGTTGAATGATAAACCTTTAAATCATATTCTTTAACTAGTTTTTCTATCAAATCTATTATGATTCTATCAGATAATTTGTATTTCGTTGACGTTTCCTATATCTCTGCCAATTGTTATTAAAGAGCGAATAATTCCTCCATATATAAATATATTAATAAAACGATTTTCTATTTTTCTTTAATAACTATTTAAATATTAAAAATATTTTCTTTCTAAAATTTCAATATTCTTTATAAATCAATATCTATAAAAAATATCATTAATAATCTATGCTATAATTTTATTATTTCTTTTTTTCATCAGAAAATATTGCTAATAATTCTAGTCCCGATATAGGCTATATTTAATTTGTTATATCACAAGGTGGTAGCAAATATAAAACGCCATTTCCTAATTATGCTACTCCGATTTTCTTTTTTTCAAGAAAGTAATCAATATATTCTTAAAAAGCACTATTCTATTTTATAAATTATTCTAGTTACCTAAGTTTAATCTGAAGGGCATAAAATAAATTTAAAGGAATCATTAGCACATTTTTTGGCATCAGAGAAATTTCCCTTGTAATTTACTTATATTTATGGATTCATTTGTATAGGTGGCTACATTATTAAAATCAAACATACATCTGATTCAATGCAAAAAGCATCTACTCCTACTTTATGGCTTTTACTCCTATACATAAAACCACTCCAAAAATCATTCATGTCTTATCTTGATTAAATTTATGAAAAATTAAGAAATGCATCTAGAATTTCTTAATTAGCTTATTAATTTTATTATTTTTATTATTATGATTATTATTATTATTATTATTATTATGATTATTATTATTATTATGATTATTATTATTATTATAATAATTATTATTAATGATTTTTGGATTTAATTTTGATTTCGTTTTCATTTGTATTTTGTATCTAATTGAACAGAAATTTGCTTGGATCATGCAATTATTGTTATTAATTTTTTTTTTCATTGTTTTATATGTAAGGGTTATGATTATTCATTTATTAATTTAAGATTGGTTATTATTATAATTAATACGTTGGTATTTAAAAAGGTAACTAAAATTATTGAGGGGGAATTTAGTGAGACATCATAATTTAGTTTACAAATTATTATTATTATTATTATATCATAATAGAAGGTTAAGGTTAAAATTAATTTTAAAATTATTATTGTGTAGGTATAGAGACTATACCTATTTCACATTTTGGATCTCCTAGAAGATCTGCTGCATTTGATTACAAATACGTTCTCATATGAATTGCTTAATGAGTATCCTTGAATTAAAGGAGAGTATAGGATTTATAATTAGAATCTTGTTAATAGTAATTCCAAAGGAGAGGACGACATTAATTATTTGAACAAATCTGTCATAATATGATTTTGAAAAATTACTTCAAATAAAAACGCATGATCGACTTTTTTATTTAAATTAGGAGGAAAAAAAATAAATAATACTGATGAAAGTTTAGATTATTATTCATTTTATAAACTAAAAAAAAGCTATAAATTTTGTTTACTTATTTCCAACAATATTATGTCTTTTGATAGGATCAGAAAAATATATTTTTATTTGTGTAGAAAATTATTACTAAATACTATCCATATTTTAAAAAGCATAAATAGCTTAATCTATCTAAATTCAAATAAAAAAACGTTTATACAGTAAAAAATTTTATATAACTGTTAAATATATTATGCTTATTAGGATACAGATCAATCCTCTCTATAGGACCAAATTATGAAAAAATCTATAATTTTCACATTGTAATACCTATCTTATTCGTGGTTCATCATAGTTCTTTGAAATGCCATTAACAAATAATTCCCTAACATAGAGTTGGATTTGAATTTTTGGACATGGTTCCAAAGGCATAATAGAACTTGTAGTTAGCACTTATCTATTTTTCTCTTATGATCTTGACCTTGATCTAGATCTTTATTTGACAATCATTTGTTTATCAATTTAAGGTTTAACAGTCCACTCTCCCAAACCACCATCTTTTATTGCTTTGTCAGCTGATTCGTTATCTGCAAATGCAATAAAAGCATAACATGATAAGTGTAAAGGAAGACCTACAATTAGTTGATTTAATTACCAGTTGGAGTCTTTCTAATTATTCTAATATCAATAATATTTCCATAGTTTTAAAAAGCTTATTACAATTGATGAGCTGTAATATTAAGAGGTAAATTTGAAACATGGATTTTCTATTTTGCTGAAACATTTGTAGAAGGTGCTTGAATTCCTAAACCATTTTAAGATGATGCACTTTGTAATGGAGGAGAGACTGAATGATTAATCATAGAAATTTTAAAATATTAATATCATTTTAATGCAATTTTATGGTTTATATATTATATATATTGAGCCATTATTTCTAAAAATTAATTTACTTTTTGGAATTCTTCCAATATTGCATAATTCATCGACATCTCATTTACAAACTAAATTTATAATATAAGAAATATCAGATTTAAAAACTAAAAATAATTTATAAAAAATTAATGATATCATAACTAACAAGATTCTATATATTTTTAATCTAATTACATTGAGTATTTTTAATATAAAAAAATAATAGAGAATTTATTTCATTTATTTTAAAAATCATATTAAATGAATTAGTGTAAAATAATGATGAATAACATTTTTTAAGACCTTTTAATGTGAATAGATTGATTTATATTAATAAGGCTATTGAATTAAATCATCAATAGTATTTCTATAATTAAAAAAAAATAACTTTAAGATGAGGTATTTTATGAATAATTATTTGAAAATCTTCACACATCAAATTAATTAAAGGTAATTTATTAATAAACCCATTAAAAATTTTTGAATAATTAATTATTGCTACATGGGTAATACATGTATGTGTTAATAAAGAATTAGTGAAGATTATTAATTTGAAGATCCTTAGGCAGAAGATAAAAATTTACATAAAAAATCTATAGTTGATCAACATGAAGATAAGATTTAAAGAGAAAAGCATGATCATTAAAAAGATTAGCAAACAGTTGATATTGATCCAATTTAATTGAAATCTTATGAGATTGAAGATAATCGTCCATAAGGACTCAAACCTTTAACAATTGAAGCTCAGGAAGAATTCTTTGATTAATACCCAGTAGTAGTAAAATAGATGATATAAAAATTACCTAAATTAGAGATTGAAGCAAATTTATCTCCTAATTATAAAAGAATACCTAATATTGATACTCAGTAATAAAATGAATGATAAATTAGTTATTAGTTATTAAGTGGAGATGTATATGTTGGATAATGGGTTGAAGGTAAACCATATGGATTGGGCAAGATTTATTATATAGATTAATCTGTCTATGAAGGATAAGTAGTTGATGGAATACCAGATGGAGAAGGAAGAAAGATTTTTAAAGATGGTTCTATATATACTGGTTTAAAATTATTTTTATATATAAGGTTAATTTAAGATGGGTGATATAACAGGTAAAGGAAAGTTTGTATAATTTAATAATGGTTTTGAGTATAAAGGAGAATTTTTATGTGGAAAACCTGATGGAATAGGTAAAGAAACTTGGCCAGATTAAACAACTTATTAAGGTTAATATAAAATGGGAAAGAAAAATGGAAGAGGAACTTTTATTTGGGGAAATAGAAAGAGTTAAAAAACTGGAAAGGAAGAATCGTTTATAGGGGATTTTTAAAATGATTTATTTCATGGTGTAGGTAGATATGAATGGCCAGATGGAAGAATTTATGATGGAGAATGGGTTGAAGGTAAAATGGAAGGTAAGGGAGAATTTATTTGGCAAGGTAATTTTAATTTAATCTATCAAAGATAAAAGAAAATATATTGGTAGTTATTTAAAAGATCTTAAATCAGGACATGGTGTATTGGAATGGCCAAATGGTAAAAATTTAGCAGGGACTTGGAGAATGGGTAAATTAAATGGAATAGCTGTATTAACTATTAAAGGAAAAGTTTTGGAAGGTTAAAATAAACCAGAACCTGATAGAATTTTCCTTTCAGAATGGGAAGATGGAAAAAGAATCAAATGGATAAATAATCTATCTCCTAGTCCTATTTATAGCAATATTAGTTATCATAGAAATTTTGACGAACGTTCTAGTTAATTTTAACAATCTTAATATAAATAGGATGGAAGAAAAAACAATAATAAAAGATAAATTAAAACAATCTTTCAATCTGATAATTTTAATATACCATCAGAAAAAATAGATTCTTAATTCTAATAAACATAAAAACAAATAGAATAATAATAATAACAATAATCTTTTAATATTAATTCTGATTCACAAGAGAATTAATTATAAAAGTAACCTTATGATATAATTGAAAAAAATGAATAAGAACTTAATCAAAATAGGAAAGAAAAACAAATTTAGATACATGAGGAATAAAAATTCGATTAAACTTGAATTATTTTTATTAAATTTTGATGCTGTTATATAACAAATCATTTTCAACAATATATAATAATCAAATATCAATAAAAATTACAAAAAATGTATATTATATTGATTCAAATACTTGATGTTTTAACTTTATTGGTTGGTTATCTTGGTGTTTTTTTTGATTCACTATTAGTTTAAGTTCTGACTCTGATATTTCTATTAAAAGAAGCTATAGAATTTAATTTATCATCAAATTATTTTTAATAAAACTGTTTTAGGAAAGTTCTTGCAGCATCATCATTAATTTGAGACGGTTATATTGTTTAGGAATTTGTTGGAGTAAACAAATATTGAGTTGAATTAAATTCTTCTGCAAGATCCATTTTTTAATGATTAAGTTTTAAAAGTGAAACTACTTCAGGTTTTTATTTTGCTTTTTCCATATCTTCCCCTAATGGAGCTTATTATGATAAAGCCATAATGAAATTAGCCTCTCTTTCAATGTTACTAATGGTTCCCATTCTACGCAAAGCTCTACCAATATTAATTTTTTAAGTATTTTCAGTTTAAAATTTTATATCTTCTAATAAGATTGGATCAAATTTAAGATGTATAGAATCTTTATTCTAGCCTAATTTATTTATATAATCAACAAGAGCATAGAATTTCATATCACCAATTTCAAAATACTTTTTAGGTTTAGATTAACCTTCTCTTAATTCTTAAGAAATTTATTTTACTCTTTATAAATAGCTCTTACTAAAGACATCTAATTTTGGAGGTCTAAGCGAGTCAGCATAACTTTTAACTGCAAGCATTTTTTATAAAAGTGCACCATTCTTTTTTTTTTCATATTTTTTATATTGCTTTAGTATTGCAAGTTCAGCTGGAGTAAATTTTTCGTTGAGATCTTTATCAATTATAAAAATTACCAATAGATTCTTTATAACCAACACCTAAATCATATTTCATTAGAAATCCAGGTTACCATCCATTTTTACCAAGTAATCGATCTGGTTGTAATTTAAGTATTTTATGTCCAGGAGGTCCAATACTTGATTGTGTTTGATCGATCTAATATAAATTTAGCCTACTTAACAGAATTATTTGCGACAAAATTTTCTAGCAGTATCTTTTTGGCATCCTTCTTCTCGTAATTTGAGATACATCATAACATTATTGTTGTTTGAGAAATTTAGATGAGTACACATTAAATATAAATTAAATGACTGAAGAAATTGAACCTCATATTGCTAGAAAATTCGAAATCATACAAAAATTAGGAAAAGGTGCTTATGGAATAGTTTGGAAAGCAGTAGATAAGAAGCTTAAAACAGTAATTGTTGTAATTAAAAGATTAGGTAGTGGCTTTAAAAAAAGTATTTGATGCATTTCATAATGCAACAGATGCTTAAAGAACATTTAGAGAAATAATGTTTTTATAAGAGTTAAATGGACATGAAAACATAGTGAGATTGTTGAATATAATAAAAGCAGAAAATAATAAGGATATTTACTTAGTATTTGATTATATGGAAACAGATTTACATGCTGTTATAGTAAAGATATAAATTAATAAAATAGAGAGCAGGAATACTAGAGGAAGTACATAAAAAATATGTTGTATATTAAATTTTGAAAGCTTTAAAATATATTCATTCAGGTGAACTTATTCATAGAGATTTGAAGCCATCAAACATATTGTTAAATTCTGAATGTCATATGAAATTAGCTGATTTTGGTTTAGCAAGGAGTATAGCAATAACTGAAGATGATAGTAGTATAATGATTTTAAAATTTAACGTTTAGCACCTCCAGTTTTGACAGAATATGTTGCTACTAGATGGTATAGAGCACCTGAGATATTATTAGGATCTACAAATTATACAAAAGCAGTTGATATGTGGAGTGTTGGTTGTATTTTAGGTGAGTTGATTATAGGTAAGGCAATATTTCCAGGAACATCAACATTAAATTAAATAGAGAGAATTATTGAATTATTAGGAAAACCAAATGATGCAGATATTGAATCACTTGAATCTCCTTTAGCTGTTAATATTTTAGCTTCTGTATCTATTTAAAAAAGAAGGTCTTTTTAACAATTTTTCTCAGGTGCACAAGATGATTGTTTGGATTTATTAAGAAGGTTTACAAATATTTTTAATATATTTAGACTTTTACAATTCAATCCTAAAATGAGACTTACTGTTAATTAGGCAATCAAACATAAGTATTTAAAAGAGTTTTCTTCTCCAGATGAAGAAATTGAATGTTCTGAACCTATTAGAATACCTATGAATGATAATAAAAAGTTTTCCATTAAAGAATACAGAGAAGCATTATACAATGATATAAATCGAAGGAAAAAAGAATAAAGAAAAAAATGGTAGGCTAAATACTTACAATAATTAGGAATGAATCCTGATGAACTTATTAATGGGTAATCAAATTTATTTTATTATTTATTAGTATTCATTAAGAATAATCTGAAATGATTTCTTAAGGAAAAAATTAATAAGCCCATGAAAATATTAATGGTAGCTCTATATAACATTAATCTTAACAATAATTATAATAGTAATAATAATAATTGTAAAAATCTAATATTGAAGAAATTTAAAATATCATTAAATAACAATAAATTTAATCACAATAACTTAAGAAATCTTAAAGTTAGGTTGGAATACAATAATAGTAGAAATTAACGAGTTAAAAAAGTGCTAGCAATTTTGTTTCTTAAATGTATAATACATTTTAACAATAAACTTAAAATTAAGATAATAAGTTTTATCAATAATAATAATTTTTGTAATAATAGCTTCAATAATTGCAATAAAAAGCTTAATAAAAGAAAAAGCCTTGATTTTTAATTTTTATATTATTTCAAATAACATATAGAAATATGATTATTTTTGTATACAATATATACTTATCTTTGTCATTTTGATGTTTTAATATAGTTTAAATTAAATATCTAATTTATGTCTGAAGAATAACCTAAATAAGTTGATCCCAGTAATCAACCAGTAATAGCTTCAGGACCTAAAAGACCATAAAAAGAGCCTGAATTAGATAATTTAGATGAGATATTTAAGAGAATATCTGATGATTTTAATGATGTAGCTCCACTTTAATAAATTGCTCAAAAATTTAATATCAATCCTGGATAATTAGTATTAGGTATAATTTTTGTTGCTTTTACTCTTACAATATTTGGGGCAGGAAATTTGTTAGTAAAAATAATGATTGGCATCTTATATCCTGCATATATGAGTGTTTAATGTGTAAAATAAAAGGATGATGCAAAATCAAAAATATGGCTTTCTTATTGGATTATCTATTTACTTATGTTTCTATTAGATAGAATAATTTGGTTTGCTTTCCATGATTTATTGTAATTGTATTTCCCTATTAAAAATATGACACTTATTTGGATGTATTATCCTAAAACCAGAGGTATTTACGTGTGTATATTTTAGGTGCAATAATAATATTTGATAAACTATTGTTATAACTTAATTAATTGGGTATTCTGGAAAAACCAAAATAAAAACATGAGTGAAATATAAGATGCATTAATCATTTATTGAATTTCTTCATTGACAATCTCACTTTTAATTTCCCATTCTCAAATTAAGTCGTGGCATTAAAATCTCCTCTAAAATTTCCTTATAATTTTTATTATAAGGTTTCTTTAAAGTACTCTCCAAAATACAAATCTGAAACTCCATATATAATATCATTATGTAAAGGGATCTAACAATTTGGTATTAGAAGTTCTGATATTGTCTCCCCATTCTTAAATTTTAATTAGAAAGGTAATTCATCATTTTATTATTTAATCATTCCAGTTAATGTGCATTGCAACTAACAATTCATAATATATATTTACTTATTCTGAAATCAATTCAACTTAATTTGTTTTAATTTAAACTTCTTATTTAGTCTATGATTTTAATTCTTGAATAAGATTTGATTAAAATTTTATCTCAAAATCAGAAAATATGAATTGTTTATTTTGATATATTGCTTTGAATTGAAAACTTTTTCCTTCTAATTTTTATGGAAGACCAAATAATTCATTCTTAATAAAATGCCTCCATGATTTATTTGAAAATCTTTATAAAACATTCTCAATATCAATATCCTATTTTAAAGTATCACTAGTCATACAAGCAGATCCATTAGATGAAAAACTTAAATATAATTGACTATCTCCAAAAGACTATTTAGTTATTTCTATTAATAAAAGAAACTCCTTCTTATAACCATGTTATAAACCAATCATATACCAATTATCATCATCTAATTAATATCCAACTTCACTTTTACACAAACTACAAGCTCTTTATTAAATTGGATTATTGCTACAAGGTGCTAATTCTAAATAATTATTCTTATTATTAAAATGAATAAAGGTTTAATTTTGAGCAGGTACTTTCTAAACAAATTCTTCTTCTGATATTTATTCTCTCTTTTTTTTTTTCTTTACAATTGTTTTTTCCATCTCCTCTAATTCATCAAGAGATTATACTTTTGTCTTTTTAGCAGAATTTAATACTTCTAATATTTGATCATCATCAAATTCTTATTTTTTATGTTTTTTCTTTTTTTACTATTTAGGCATTTATATAATTTTATCATCATCATCATCACTCCATTATTCTGGAATTTCAATAATTTACTTTTTTTTCTTTTCATTTTCTAAGATTAATTATTATTATTGGTCTAACTTCAATTTCTCTAATCTTTATTACTCCTATTTTTCTTTCATTAATTATTCTAATTTTAATTATTCCTACCTTTATTATTCTAATTTTAATTATTCTTATCTTTATTATTCCAATTTTAATTATTCTAATCTCTACTATTCTAATCTCTACTATTCAATCTTCTATTATTCTATTCTCTATTACTCAATAATTAAATCATCATCATCTGATTAAGATTCATCTACTTCATCATATTCAGAAATCTCATCATATTATTTATATTCATCTTCTTCAGATTAATCACTTATTGTAATATATCCTTCACTGAATATATCTGAACTATCATATTCACTAATTATTTGTTCTAATACAATTGCTCAAAAATGTATACTTGAAACTTTAGTTTTTTATTTCATTAGTTATTGAAACTCAAATAATTTATCAACAGGATCCTAAACTATCACTATGTTAAACAACTATGCTAAAAGAAATATATAAAGCATTCCGTTTTAATATATTAATGAATAATATTAGAATTATAATGTTAAATAAACAGATTTGTCTTATTTGTAATTATGATTAAACAATCAACTTTAATGAAATATTATTATAATCAAATTTAGCGTTGATATTATAAATCTGTGAAGAACAGCGATTAATCAATCAAAAATATAATACAAAGCTAAAATTCTGAAATTATGATTGTATTTATTTAAAATCAATGAAATCAATCAAAACTAAACAACCCACAAATACCTCTTAGATTGAAACAACCATTTATAACAATAGCATTTCCTCTCGTAAAATTCCAAAATTGCCTTATTTAAATACAAAACATAATTAAATTCTATCTTCATCAAGGAAACTTGTTTGTGAAGAGAATGGAATTCTAAGTTAATTGAATGTTTAAAAAAAAGAATTGATAAAATGCATATATGATAGATAATTGGATGAAGCTTTAGAGAGTAAATGATTAATCCAATACTATAGTAATAAAAAAAATGGTTTAACAATGTATCAGTTATGATCTGAATATATTTGGTAAATCATTACATTTGTTGGCTGACATGTATATTTCAAATAGAGAGTTTAATAATGGGTTATACATATATAATGTCTTACGCATATTGGCAGATATATAAAATAATTAAGCACTCAAAGTTGAAGCACTAATATAAATGGGAGATTTGTGTAAATTACAATAATCCTATCATTTAAGCAAAATATATCTTAAAAAAGCTTTGTAATATGTTTGGTATCTAAATGATACTGAAAATGAAGCTACTATCTATGATTATTTTGGAGTTCTCTATTATGTCTAAGGTGAATTGAAATTAGCTTAAGAATATCATGATAGAGCTATGAATTTCATTAAAGAATCAAATGATAGTGCAGCTAAAAATCATTCTGTTGAATCCATTAAAGCATACATTAAGAAAATCAATTATTAATCATAAGTTATGAACAATATGGTTTTATCTAAATTAGGTTTAATTTAAGGAAATGAAACTGATATCAAATTAATGACACAATTGGATTTTGGTTCTTTAAATAATTAAATTTTATCTGATTAGGAATTCTAAGTTGAAGTTGCTACACCCAATAGACCTTAAAGATGTGTAACTAAAAATGGAATACTTTAAAATGATGTTGATATGTTTACAAATGTTAAAGAATTACATGAGAGATAATTAAAAAGAAAGTTCTTTGAAAAAAAAGTACCTGTTATGCATTAAACTAAATCAATATTAAAATAAACTATAGAGGAATAGCTAGAATAAAGAATGAAATCAGATTAAAAAAAAAATGTATTCTTTTAAAAATATATAATCTAGTCAGTTGAACGCTTATATAATATTTACAAAAGTTTCATACTTTCAAAAACTTTCCTGAAAAATTGGATAAAGTCAACATCAATCATCTCTCTCCTAACAGAAACCTCCTTGGATTCAAATACAGTTTCAAGCCTATGAGACATTAATTACTCGATTTAATTAGTGATATTGAATAATACATATATTTACATCAATCCTGATATTAAGATTTTTATTATAGGATCATAGTTTTATTATTTTCACTTTAATTTTCCATATCTATACTTTCTAAAGATTTCAAGTATTCTGTTGTTGATAATATTTCATCTTTAATCAACTTATTAATCAAATCGAAATACTCTTATAATTTAAGTCCAAAAGCACACATTTCCATGCGTTATAGTATTAATTTAGGTTCAAGTTAGATTCTAGGATATAATATATTACACAGCCGTAATAATGCTAAATAATCCTTGTTTTTAAAGAGTTCATTTAAAAATAGTATGAGTTCATCATCTAAATCAATTTTAGAAGCAATTTCTAAATAATTGACTAAAATGAATAGACTTTTTTGAACTATTTAACTATCACTATCTTTTATGTGTTTATATAATTCATTTAAATGTTCTTTAGATAAGTAAACTGGTTAAGCACATTATAAATTTAAAATAGTATCAAAGATAGCTGAGGAAATGTCTTTTCTACATAAATTATTGAATAAATAGTCTGTTACACAAGCTAGAAATTCTTCATTAAATCGTTCTTTTTTAAGAAATTCATCGATAAGCCAGACAAGTGTAAGTTTGAATTCTGTCATAGCATAATTACTAATTTCAATGGCTCTTTATAATATAGATCTAATATCATCATTAGAATGATTATTGAAATCAATTAAATTTCCTATAATGGAAAGTAACTAAATTTTAACTAAAATTTTAATTACATAATTTAGGTTTGCTTCTTAAGTTGAAGTCTATGTATAAGTGTTTATAAGTTAAAATGTTTTATCAAATGCAGCAGTAAGTACTCCTTATTCAACAAGGTATAGATTGCATTAATAATCATCTACAGAGCTTAAAAAAGAGATGAACTACAAATAATCTGGTTAATCTATATCTTTTAACAATTCATTAATTGGATTTTCTAGAACTGCTTATCTGAAATATTAAGGTGTTGCTTATAATTTGATAATTCTTCTTTTAGCAAATTCTTTCTATCTTTACTCAGCTCTTATTTTTATATGAAAATTCTCTCTCATTAATTTCATTCTTTTAATAATTAATTAATTTAATGTAATAAAAAGGAGAACATGAAAATATCTTTAGGAGCATTATTAAATGATTCATATAAGTTAGTTTCATTCTTTTAAAATAAAATGGAAAATGATTAAACAACTTTTGAATAAATAATTAAAAAATGTCCATTTGATGGTTAATATGTGAAATTTACAGAAGAAGATATTGATTTGTGAAAAAAAGAATAAAATAAAATATAATAAATTTAAAAAGTATATTGGCTTAAGATGCAAATACAAAATTTTTTGATTATCTTAGGAATTTAGATAGTTCTAAAATAAAAATTAGAGCAATGCCTGAAGGATCAATTTGTTTTCTAAAAGAACCTTTTATTAGTGTAGAAGGACCTTAAGGAATTGTTAATTGATAGAATCATGAATTAGCTTCATTTATAGCATATGCATAATCATGTTCTAATAATTTTTTATGTTTTGTAGATACATATCATACTTTAAAATCTGGAATTCCTAATTTTTTAGCTGTTATACAGAAATTAAAGCTAAAGGAATTTGCTTAGATTTATGAGATTTAGCTTAAAAATTATCAATATAATTATATATATATTGACTTAATTAGATAAGCCAAAGAATTATATAAACATTATGGAGATTAATTTTAAAAAGATATTAATTATCTTAAAGTTGCTGCATCAAATGATATTAATGAAGAAGCACTTAAAGAATTTATTAAGAAAAGACATAAAATAGATATTTTAGGTATTTTAGTTATATGTTAAAAATAATCTGCTTTAGGTCTTGTTTTTAAATTAGTTGAATATAAAAATGATCTATACAATGAATGATTAATGCGAAGATATTATCATATAAATAAATTATTTACGAGAGAATAATGATTTTTTAAGTTCATTGATCACATAAGTAAAAACGTTATCATATAAAACCAACATATATTGAGAATTTGTTATAAATTGTTGATTAGATTATGTTCCTGATTTATAGATAGTCAAGAAATATTGTACAAAATAAATGAAAGATTTGAATGTAAAAGTTACAAGAATTGATAATCCATAAAAACATTGAGTATTAATGTCTACAGAATATTATTAAATGATTTAGTGTTTATATGATGAGATAGCTATAGGGGAAGTGATTGAATGATGATATTAAGATTAAATATTTAATTTTGGATATGAAAAGATTAATTGTTAATTAAACAAGAAGTAAGACAGTAGCAGCTCGTCCATAATAAATAAATCTTGATCGTGTAAATAAATGGTTGTAGACTTTAACAGTTAAAGCAAATACATTAGAAAGCAGATTTTATGCATCTTAATTGAGTTCTTTGTTTAATTTCTATTCAAAACCTGCAACAGGTGCTGCTTAAGTATAGGTTGTGTTACGATGAATAGGAAATTGATTGGAATTATTGGAAAGATTAGATTACAACTGAAGGATTGGTTGAAAAAGTTTAAAAAGGACATGATACCTTACTTCACAAAGAATTTGATGTTGAACGCATTTGTCATTAAGTTGTATCAAGTCAAAGCAAAGAATTAGAAGATTTAGAAAATGAATTATCATTTCATAGTGCTGTTTGGAGTAATTATTATTTAGATCAACATTTGGCTTTATTAGATTTAGAATAATATGGAGATAGAAATGACTATGTCAGTAAAATTATTAAATTATAATTATTAGTTCATGAGGATTATGATTTCTATCCAGGATTAGAAGCAGACTTAGAAGAATTAACAGAAACTCATAATTGGATTCCAGGATCAAAAGATGATATTAATTTGAAAGGTTATATGGTTTCATAATTCTAATGGGGAAAAAAGATCATTTCATTCTATAGACATCCTTGTGATGATTTCAAAGCTGCTAGAGGTACCAAAAATATTTTGGGTAGATGAGCTTTTCATATATATTGCAATACATTAACAAAAATTAAAATCTTTATATCAAAATATAACTAAAGTTTTACAATATGAAACAATAACGACCGTAAACATCATATCATTCAACTATATCATCTAATCAAATAGAATCACCATCAGTAAATACTCTTAATATATTGACAACTCTATAATTATCTACCAATAGAAAATTATTAGAATAATTCCCTAAAGATCCTCATTCTGATGTTGTAATCCAAATTAAAAATAAAAGATTTGAATTATAAAAGGCACATCTTAGAATTGAAAGTCCTTTTTTTGATTCCGATAAAAAAGTCATCTCGATTCAAGAATATGATCCAGATATTTTTGAAGCAATTCTTAAATGCTTCTATGGTGGATAATATACCGTTTATACATATCAAGAACTATATTTAGCTTATTAAATTTGTAGTTTCCTTAAATGTGAGGGTTTATGTAAATAAATTGAGAGTTCATTTCTTATTAACAAAAAATCATTTACACTTGCTTTTTAATTAAGTGAATTCTATGGACTTGAAGATCTAAGACTTTCTTGTTATGAATTCTTAGATAACAATCCTGATGCCTTTCTTTAAATTTTTGATCTTGGCATGCTTAAATTAAAAAAAAATCATAAAAAATCTACTCCTTCTGATGTTTTAGGACTAAATAAAACATGTTTTACTCATCTTGTCTTAGCTCATAACACTTATAAAAAAACTAAATCAGAATCAAGATTATTTTTAACAAATTATGAAATTTTCTAATTATTAGAATTGTACAACTCTAATGAAGATGATCTTAAAGAACTTGTGGTTAATTTAATTGATAGGAATACTCTAACAAGTGAAGAATACTATAAAATATACCATCAATTAGCTTGTAGATAATCACATGATATTTTAGATGAACCACATATTCAAACATGTCATCAATCTGTTAAAGAATTCCAGTAATTTAATTTTCATTTAATAGATTATAAACATAACCTGAAAACCATTATGAAGATTATTTTGATGTAAACAAAAGTGAAAATTATTATTTCAAAAAACGTTTGATTGAATTAGAAGAATAGAACAAAGTATTTTAACAAGAGACTTCAAAATTATAAATTGCTTTAGAAACTAGCATGAAAAATACTAATAATTTTAAAGATACATTATTAGAAACTATCACTTAGAAATTAGACAATAAACTTATTGAAAAAGATAAAGAAATCGATTATTTAAAATAAGAACTTTTAGCTCTAAAAAATTAAATTAATTAAAAGGATTAAACTATAATTGATTTAGAGGATAATTTGAGGGATATTAATGAGAGAGAAATCATATAGTTAAATTCCTAAATTGAAACCCTAAAAAGTTAATTAATTTTAAGAGGTCAAACTATTTCAGAATTATAATATAGCGAAAAAGACTTCAATGATTAAACATTAGAATCATTTAATTAAAACACAGCAAGTTAATTTCTTTAACAATAAGAATTGGCTAAGTCTGAATTTTAATTTTTAAGAACTCAAACAGTTGCATAAAGTTAAGTGTAATTAACAGTTTAATAAACTGAGAGATTTTAATTTGATGCAGAACCTGTCACTTTAGACAAGATTTCTTAACTCAATTATATGTTTGATTATCTTAATATTACAATTTTTTCTCAAATTTATTTAAGAAGACTATAATTAGGATCTCTTATTGGATATGACATAGATTCATTTAGAAATAATTGCTCTGATATTTAAAATTTACTTATTTTGATAAAAGTTTTTGATTATAATAAAATAATAGGAGTACTAATATTTGGAGCTTAGAAATATTTACTTAATATATCTAATCGTTAAATAGAGGAATAGAATGATATTTATTTATTTGAAGATAATATAATAGAGATTCCAGGTAAACTTACAATATGTAATGGTTGTGATTCTAACACTTGTTACGGTTCAACTTCTTTGACAGGAAATAAAGAATTTGTAGTAGAAGACATTGAAGCTTATTCAATGTAAATTAGTCATAATTTATGATAAAATTATATTAGATAAAATAATATTTGTCATTTTTGTTTCTTCTCATATTCAATTGGATAATTCTCATCAGAACAAATATAAACTTAAATTTCATTGTTTTATCCTTATACTTTGGAACTATTCAAGTATACTTAATATGGATATTCAGGATTATTTTCTTATGGAGTTTCTACAGATGTTCCTTTTGGCGCAGTTATAATAAATAGCGCCTCTCCCTTATGATCAGTTTATTAACTCTTAGATAATTCTTTAAAGTCATCATGAGTAAGAAATGTGTATTTAGCTACCTCTGGATCACTCTGAAACTTCTCTTACAGATTCTTTTACAAGTACTCTATCCAATAATCAATTGTTTTCTCTTCATCTTATAAAGCTTCTAATTCTTATTTTATTTAACGTAACTCAGTTTCTAATTAAGGATCATCAGTGGCTCCAACCCATTTGATTTTATTTTTAGAAATTTTCTCAATATAACCAATCCCTTCTAATACATTTGTAATATCGTAAATTCTTCTTTTTTAAACTCCTAAATCATTGACTGCTACATTCAAATCTATTGTCAACTCTTCAGAATTCCTGATTAATTCAACAAACTTTTTTGTGAGTACAGATAATGAATTGTCATGTCTAGTTTTCTGTTTCCCAGTACTCTTAGGTTCTTCATCATTCGACTCATTGAATGAATCCTCATAGTTTGATTCCTCCTACTTCACCTTTTTCTCTGATTCTAATTTTACTTACTTTCGCTTCGAACTCATGTATTTAATATTAATTAATTCCATTATAAATTGAGGTATTAAGCATATGAATACTTATTTTCTAACAAAATATACTACAACCTCTTATAAAATAATCTCAATCCTTAATCATCTACTTAAACATTTATTAATATTAAAAAGACTTATTTTATTATATATCAAATTTCAAATCTTAAACTACCTCTAAATTCATTCAAATTGAAAGAGTTAATAATTTAATTATCTCATCTAACACAATCTCTATAATTTTATATATACATTTTATTCTCATCAATCCTATATCTAATATTTCTATTTCAAAATTATATTCTTTATATTATTTTCAATCTAATAATTAAAATATTTAAACTTCATCTTAAACTCTATTACTTCCTATTTTTTAAATATACAATTTAAATCAATATTTATATTTGAAGCTAATCTTAAAAATAACATTTAGATCTAAACCTCATTTGAATTACTATTCAAAAAAAATATGAATATTTTGATAATTTAGAATAAATGTTAATAGATTAACATATTTTATCTATTATCTTTTAATTACTTTCAACATAGAATAGTATATAAATTTAATATTATTTTGATTATAATGAATAAATTTTCATTAGTTTTCTCAGATTCTTTATTGGAAGAAAAATATCAAGAAAGTTAAAGACCATAAATATTACATGGCTTTAAGATAAACACAATTATACCGATTGTTTCTTATGCATTTCAGGCAGGATATTGGATGATAAAAAATTAGATCACACTATCTATTGTATATATCATTTTGACCATTTTATATACTTTTTTTTTTTACAAAGTTGTAATACGATAATAGTGGTTTAAAATAGTTGACATCATAGTATTATCATTTAGTTTGTAAGCTTCAATAATGTAGTTTATACCAATTTGGATAAGTTTAACTGAATCTGATATTGGTTGGATTGAAGATATTGCTATTTAAATGGGTTTACATATGAACATAACCCAAAATCTTGTACAAAATGCGATTTTATATTCAATATTTATTGCAACTAGAATTTATTTCAGATCTATTTTAGAATTCAATCCTATGTGCATTCTCTTTATATTGTTCACAATACTTACTTGTTATAATGAATATTAAAGAATTAAATGCTCAAGATATCAATTTCTATGGAAGGAAAAAAATTTAAATTAATATTTCATCTTTGATGATTTAATAAAAGAGAGTTTAGTCATTCTCAATTATAATGATGTATGGGATAAATTTAAAGTTGTCTATGCAAACAAATAATTTTATTCTGAGTATCATGAAAGTCCATTAGATTTCTTTAAAGAGACTCAACTTTCATTACACAAGATGTCTACAATGACATTTTTACATTATAAAATTTAAGATCTCAAGAGTTCTTTTTCAATTAATGCTTTTTGGAGAAATAAGAACTAACATTTAATTATTGAGTGTTGGAAGTATTCAATTATGGATACATAGATAATTTTAAAGATTACAACAAAAAAGTCTTATACTGAAAGTAATATGTATCCACTTTTGTACAAAGGCATTCTAAAGAAATTAAAGAAAATAGATAGATAACATTACCATACAGAATCACTAAAGAATCTTCTTGCAGCCTTATTAGTAAGACCTAAGTAGATTGTTAATTTTAAAATTCAATGCATTAATTATAATAAGTTGAGTGCACTTTTAATGAATATTTTAAGAGACAACTCAGCTCTGTTTTCTTTGAATCTCAAATCTTAAGCTTTTTACACGAATATACCATTGCTATACATTTTAATGATCTCTGTAAGTAAGTATTATAAGGTAAGCACATTTTCGATACATTAATTAAATGAATCTATTCTAGAGATTATTGTAAAAGGACCTATAAAAAAAAACACAGAATAGAATTAAGAATTATTTAAGAAATTAATGAATATTATAATAGATTTGATAGGAATAGAGTAAATCAAGATAGATAACAATTAATTCATGTGTAAAATAATGAATATGGAAAATCCTTTCATTTCAACTATGAATTGATTATATATTATCCTATTAATCTCCAAGAAGATTAATTCAATTTAAAATATTATTCATTGTTTATTTCATTCCTTAATTATATAATTTTTAAAATAAAATAATATATTTGAAATGGCTACTAATATATAACATGAAGAGATTAATATAAGTCTAAATAACGATAAGAAAGCATTTGAAGATCTAAGTGGATTCTTTAATTTGCTAGCACTAGCTTTAGAAAAAGTAGATTTAGCTAATAAGGAATTAATTGAATGTTTGAAAAAGATTCAAAAATAACTTAGTTCAGAAATACCAAAATTAGGAGAAGTAGTTTCTTTAGTAGCAGAATCTATGAATGTGGCTTCGAAAAAGAATTAGGAATATATAGAATTGATAAAAAGCAAAATAATTTTAAGTTTGAATGGTTAACTTGAATAAATTAAAACAAAGTAGAAATTATTAGATGATTATAAAGCTAAAACAGCAATTGAAGCTGATAGGGATTAAAAAAGAAAAAATACTGAACCTGCAAAATAAAAAGAAACATATTAAGCATATGAATAAGCAAAAAAAGAGAAAATGCTTGCAGGATAAACGCTTAATACATAATATTAAATTTACATAAATGAAAAAAATTAAGAATTTTGTTCAATGTGGAAACATTTTCTTAATATGCACATGTATTGTTGTGCAGCAGGACTTTAAAGTTTCTCAAAAAGCGCCTAAGAAATACACAATAGAGAATAAGAAGTTAAAAAAGACGCTGAAATTTTCTTAAGTAAATTGTTAGGTAATTAAAGAGTTAAATGAATGTATATATATATATTTATATATTTATTTAATGTAAAGAGATCAAATTAATTTCTCTTATTTAAAGAGATTGTTCCCTACTCTAGAATAGATTTTATATACAGGCAAATTTACAAGTTTGAATGAGTTTGATAAATGTACCTAATTATGGCATTAGGCTGGATTTTAAGGACCATTCTTTTTATTAAAATTAACTGATTAATGCGTATTCATTATACTAAATTAAAATTCCACATAAGATTTTATTCGGACTCTAAAAAAAGGATTAATATTTGAAATGAGTAAAGGCACTTAATGGTTTTATTTTAATTTTTAAGATAAATAAAAAAAAGTTTTCAATATTTGGTTTTAGGATTAATAAGATTTTGAAAATTTTAAGATTTGTTTAGAGAAGTTAGTAAAATGAAATTCATAATTTGTATTTTATTTCCTTTCTAATCTATTTAAAATAAATTATTTATATGCAGATTAAAACATCTGATTAATAATTTTAAAAGAATGTATAAATGAAGATTTAGATAAACTTCTCTCTTAAAGTTGATTATATTTAAGATAAATTAATTAGTTGTCAAAAAGATTGTAGAATTAGCTGATGATAAATAAAAGGGGATGATAAAAAATAAGATTCAAAGAAAAAGGACTTGCTATAATGATGATAAGCTGAAATAGTTAAAAGAGAGAAAAAACAAAGAAAGGCTGGACTTTCAATTTTTAGACATAAAAATGATAATGAGAATAAAATTGATGTACTTAAAGGAGCAAAAATAATTAATAATAATAATAATTGAATTAATTAATGTTTGCATTCCTTTTATTTATATTGTCAATTGTGTCATCAACTTATATTGATGTTATTTCAAAATGTAGTTGTGAACAATTACTAGTTGAATCTGATTGTGATGTAATAAACTCTTGTTTTTGGGATGAAAAGAAGTGTATCAATATTGAAGATTGTTAATTTGATTCTCCTGTCTTTTGTCCAGAAGATATAAAATGTGCATATTTGGAAGGAAAATGCACTAAATTTACAAGTTGTGACTTATATTTAGGAGATAAGAGTTTATGTGAAGCAATATCTATTTAATGTACTTCAATAGATGGAAAAAAATGTTAAAAAAAATAAATTCCAAGTTGTTCCTTATATGATGAATCAATCTGTAATGACTCATATGGTTTTGAAGGAGAATGTGGATTTTTTGAAAGCAAATGTTAAGTTATAAAATAATGCAGTGATATTGACTTAATAAAAGAGGAATTCTAATTTATGAAATGTAGTATTCAAAATAGTCATTCTTGTCAAATAACATCTAGTTAAAAATGTGTCTAAAAGAAATGTTAAGATCTCCCAGATAAAAGTAGATGTAAATCTGTTTATGAATATGATACTTTTGATAATCCTTAAAAAGTTTAATTATGTAAATGGGAAGATGGTGTTTGTGATGATGCTCTACCCAAAGATTTAGATGAATTCACCTGTTTCACTAATACCAAATTTTCTTATTAATGGAACCCTGAAATAAAGTCTTGTTAAAAGTGTGATTAACCATAACCTGATCCACCTTCTCCAAATAATTTTGGATTTATAATGAAGGTTGCTATAATGATATATTTAATTTCTTATTGAAATTGTTATTCATTATTTTACATTTCAAATCAATTCTAATCTATATGGAATTCACATAAATTTCTATCTGTATCAAATTAACATTAAATCTCTCTGTCTAAAATAGGAGATCAATAACCTAGAAAAAAAGAGTTACATTCAAAAATTAATTGTGGTGATAAAATTAATCTAATTAATAATTCTGTGTATAGTTATTAGATATCATAATTTTAGATTTGTTAATTCAATTTATATGATTGCTTATGGCAATCTCTCTAATTAAACATTAATATAAATATTATCTTTCTTTTTTTTCTCTCTTCGATATGAAATAATTTCCTTACTATTCTATAATTACAAAATGAAGAAAGTTTAGTAGAATCAAGAGTTAGAAGATATTTTTTAATATATTTGAAACTCATATTGTAGTATAAATTAAGAGTCAATCTTTTCAAATAATTCAATATCTTAAAAATTTGAATTCACTATATAAGTGGATGGGAATAATTTAATTAATTATATTATATAATTTATTAAGCTTCAAGTAGAATTTAATCTTAATTGATAAAAGAAATAAAAAATTGATAATTCCTATATATTTATATTGTATCTAATTTATTAGAGGATTTAAAATTTATTTTAAAATAAATTAAGTTAATAAGAATCAACTTTAGTTATTAAAAATTCAGAGTTATTCTTGTTATATAATTTATATAATTTATATAAGTATTAAGAAATTTGAAAGATTGTGCAAAAATGATAGAATGAATAGATTTAAATGGAATAAAAGAGATGAGATAANTACTTCAATAGATGGAAAAAAATGTTAAAAAAAATAAATTCCAAGTTGTTCCTTATATGATGAATCAATCTGTAATGACTCATATGGTTTTGAAGGAGAATGTGGATTTTTTGAAAGCAAATGTTAAGTTATAAAATAATGCAGTGATATTGACTTAATAAAAGAGGAATTCTAATTTATGAAATGTAGTATTCAAAATAGTCATTCTTGTCAAATAACATCTAGTTAAAAATGTGTCTAAAAGAAATGTTAAGATCTCCCAGATAAAAGTAGATGTAAATCTGTTTATGAATATGATACTTTTGATAATCCTTAAAAAGTTTAATTATGTAAATGGGAAGATGGTGTTTGTGATGATGCTCTACCCAAAGATTTAGATGAATTCACCTGTTTCACTAATACCAAATTTTCTTATTAATGGAACCCTGAAATAAAGTCTTGTTAAAAGTGTGATTAACCATAACCTGATCCACCTTCTCCAAATAATTTTGGATTTATAATGAAGGTTGCTATAATGATATATTTAATTTCTTATTGAAATTGTTATTCATTATTTTACATTTCAAATCAATTCTAATCTATATGGAATTCACATAAATTTCTATCTGTATCAAATTAACATTAAATCTCTCTGTCTAAAATAGGAGATCAATAACCTAGAAAAAAAGAGTTACATTCAAAAATTAATTGTGGTGATAAAATTAATCTAATTAATAATTCTGTGTATAGTTATTAGATATCATAATTTTAGATTTGTTAATTCAATTTATATGATTGCTTATGGCAATCTCTCTAATTAAACATTAATATAAATATTATCTTTCTTTTTTTTCTCTCTTCGATATGAAATAATTTCCTTACTATTCTATAATTACAAAATGAAGAAAGTTTAGTAGAATCAAGAGTTAGAAGATATTTTTTAATATATTTGAAACTCATATTGTAGTATAAATTAAGAGTCAATCTTTTCAAATAATTCAATATCTTAAAAATTTGAATTCACTATATAAGTGGATGGGAATAATTTAATTAATTATATTATATAATTTATTAAGCTTCAAGTAGAATTTAATCTTAATTGATAAAAGAAATAAAAAATTGATAATTCCTATATATTTATATTGTATCTAATTTATTAGAGGATTTAAAATTTATTTTAAAATAAATTAAGTTAATAAGAATCAACTTTAGTTATTAAAAATTCAGAGTTATTCTTGTTATATAATTTATATAATTTATATAAGTATTAAGAAATTTGAAAGATTGTGCAAAAATGATAGAATGAATAGATTTAAATGGAATAAAAGAGATGAGATAAATTATATTGGAATATCAAATAAGAACTAATACTAAATAAAATAAAATAGTTTTTAATTACTAAATAAATAAAAGTGATAAAAATAAAATAAAGAAGGATTAAGGATTGTTAGAGAAAGATCATAAGGTGAAGAATGTTTATATAATACTGGTAAATAAATTGAAATGAATTGTGCTAGTATTTTATAATTTAATAACAAATTAT